GCGAGTGTGTGAGTGTGGACGTCGGGGTTAGAGTTCGCTGTTAGGAGCGAGTGTGTGAGTGTGGACGTCGGGGTTAGAGTCTGCTGTTAGGGGCGAGTGTGTGTGAGTGGACGTCGGGGTTAGAGTCTGCTGTTAGGGTTGAGCATGTGTGTAAGCATAGACGTCAGGGTTAGAGTCCACTGTTAGGAGCAAGTGTGTGTGTGTGTGTGTGTGTGTGGACGTCAGAGTTAGAGTCCACTGTTAGGGGTGAGGTGTGCGAGTGTAGACTCTTGTCGTTGTTGTTATGTGCCGTCGAGTCAGACCTGACTCATAGCGACCCCTCCTTGGGTTTCCGAGGCAGCATCACTACGGAAGTAGATTGCCCCATCTTCCTTCTGAGGAGTGGCCGGTGGGTTTGAACTGCCAGCCTTCTGGTTAGCAGTCAAGTGTCTTAGCCACTATGCTACCAGAGCTCCCGAGTGTAGACTGGGAGGTGTTTTTTCCCTAATTGCCAGTGTGCATGGAGTGAGTTGACACTTCAGGGACAGGAGGCGTTCTGAACATTCTGCCTTTGAGTTCCAGGAGCTTGCAGTGACGGTCTGTCCCGCATAGTGGGGCTGACGGGCTCTGAGGTGGGCTCTCCGTCACGTTTGTCCGCTTTTATGAATGACTGACTTTGCAGATCAGCCCACAGCGCAGCATCAGATTAGCTCTTTGCACCATCGGTTTTATTTCCCCCCCTTCCCCCCACCCCTGTAAACAGCCCTGAACTGAGGCAGGTGTCTGCAGTGGGCTTCCCTGCAGTGGGGGGGTGCAGACCGGGGCTGTGCCAGCCTCCTGCTGCCCTGGGCCCAGCGGCTCTGGAGTCGTTTCTCTGATGAGGAGAAAGTGCAGGAGCCACAGAAGCCCGGCCCTCAGCCCCGCGGCATCGGGTACAGCAGCCCTGGCCCTCACGCATGCTCACCCACGTGTCCACGTCTCCAGGCCTTCTTGCCAGTGTGAAGGTCAGGGCATTGCCGCCTGTTGGATCTTCTGAGCTTAGAAATGAAGAAAGGTTCATGCTGCCTAGGCTGTCTCGTCTGACACCCCCGCGGCCTCCTTGGGAGGCTCGGCTGGGCTCTGCAGCGTGCAGAGCAGACGCCGCTCACTCCCGTCCGGCTCTTGGAAGACGGGTGTGAATGAGGTCCGCAGTCATTGCCCTGGATCTCGCCAGCCCTTGCTCACTCTCCCTGCCTCGCTCGCTGCTGTGAGGGTCAGCTGACCTCTGACCGAGGGGTGGCACTAGGACGCTTTCTCAGGCACAGGCCTGAGGTCCTCCCGGCGGGCTTCTGACCTCCACCACTTGGCTTGTCACCCACTTTTCACAGTGGGGAGAAGGGCGTGCTGGGCACAGGTGGGCGCAGAAGGAGACCAGTGTGGTCAGGCCCAGGCCGCTGGCACAGGCACTGCTGGCACCTTCCTGCCCCGTGACTGGCCCTGGGCGGCGGGAGTCTCAGCCATGGCTCCTTGTGTCCTGTGCTCACTGCACACAGGGCATGGTGCTGTAGGGTTGCTGGGGGCTTGTGGGGCTTTCTCTTCTTTGTCACAATGGGGGTGAGGTGATGTGTGTGCCACGCTGGGAATGCACGTCCCAGGACACTTGGAGGAGGCACAGAGGCTCGGGCGGGGCACCAGCATGGCCGCAGGCTCCCTATTTCTACCTCAGGCGGAGAGAACGGTGTTACGACCTGTGGTTAGCGCCATTAATGGTCGAATGGCACTACGACCCTGTGACATAAATGACACGTGACGTGAAGTCTGTATTACCCTCTGTGATGTAAATGACACATGACGTGAACTGTGTTACTCTCTGTGACAAAAATGACGTGACGTGAACTCTTACTCTGATGTAAGTGCCATGTGTAGTGAACCGTTACTCACTGTGACATAAATGACACATGACACGAACTCTTACCCTGTGACATAAATGACACATGACATGAACTAGAGAGCTTTTAGGAACACAGTGTGACCACTTGTGTGATGCTCCTCCACTGGGACCGCAGGTCTCGGCGTGGAGGGTGAGTGGGCGGTCCAGGCGCCTCAGGAAGGGCTGTGCAGCAGCCATCCCTGCAGGACCAGGGGTTGTGGGAGACCCGGGTTGTGCACGTCCCTTGGGGACCCTGCTGCGGCGCCGTCTTCCTCACTGAGCGCTGGCACCCCCTTGCACCCCCGGCGCTCCCACATGGCCACCCTTCTGCTTTCAGGGATGCCTGCCGTCTGCAGCCCGGGCATGGTGCCCGTGGCCATGTCGCCGCCAGCCCTGCCTGTGCAGCCGCGCTGTAGCGAGGAGGACCTGAAAGCCATCCAGGACATGTTCCCCAACATGGACAAGGAGGTGGTCCGCTCCGTGCTGGAGGCCCAGCGGGGCAGCAGGGATGCCGCCATCAACTCCCTGCTGCAGATGGGCGAGGAGTCCTAGGGCCACACCCACCCGCGGCCCCCTGCTGCCCTGTGGCCCCCTGCTCTGGACTTGCCAACCCAGGGCCCCCGGAGACTGCCCTCCAGATCCAATGACAAGCACCGTGGCCACCCTCCCTGGTGTCCTGCTGCCTGCTTGCCTTGCTCTGTTGGATGCATGTGGGGTCTAGGCTCCTAGCGGCTGGACCCGCCATCGGTTCAGGTGGGCGGGGGGCTTTGCTTTCTCTTCCTTGTGTTGCTTGTGAGCGGACAGGGGCATGGCGTCGTGCCCTGTGCAGACTCGTGTTTCTGCCCCTCCTGGCACTGCCCTGGCTACTTCTGTCCCTGAATGTGTTGGGACATGTGCGTCTCCTTCCAACTTGAATGGCACGTGGACATCTGGCTGAGGCAGGCTGGGCCTGAGGCCCACAGAGTCCTTAGCAGCCATGGGGGATCGCTCGTAGAGCCTTCAGTCAGCACTCACGTCCTTCCCGCCTTTCCCCGTTCCTGGTCTGGGCTCCACCCCGTGCCCTCGTCCCTGGCGAGCTGTGTGAAGCCGCCCCAGCTGCTCAGCAGTATCAGGCTTACCTGGCGTCCCTTCACTGTCTAAGCCCGGCAGGTGCTGGCAGGGCCACGTCTGAGCCCGCGTGCGATGTGTGGGCAGAGTGCTATCTGAGGCTTTCCCGTGGTACGCCCTGTCGGTGAGCTGCTGGGAGCCCTCACGTAGATGGAACCGAAATGGGACCTGAAGGCAGGGAGTGGTGGCTGGTGGCTGACAGTCGTTACAGGGCTGAGGCCCTGGTGGCCCACTGCTGACCTTCCCACAGCGAGTGCCGCGTGCTGGCGCAGAGGCCTGGTGAGCAGTAACCTCAGCATCTGTCCTCTTGGTGACCGCAGTGACAGTTCAGGGCTGTCGACACCGGGAGTGTGGGTGGTCTCAGAGAGGCTTTCTGGACAATCAGCGGGCTGCCGGGACACCACCACGCACAGCGGCTTCACAGAGTGTGTGCTCCACGTGAAAGAGCGCTGTTGTCCGCTTCCACGCACTCACACCCACCCTGTCCCCACGGTCTCCCTGGATGGACGGACACATGTGCCAGCACTTTGGCTTCTGCGTGTGACTGGGAACAAGGACCCTGTGCCTGGGTGTCTCTTTCCCTCCCAGGGTGTGGGGTGAGCGCTAGCGTCAGTCAGGAGAGATGTCCGTGGCAGCCCGGCTCACGGTCGCCAGCAGCCTTGAGAACCGATGCTCCTGGCTGGGCTCTCTGTTGATGGGGAGGACTTAGTTCTGGGATGTCCCTACGCTTCAGACATTGCTTTTTATTCTCCTGCGTGCGTGCTTTAGTTTTTCAGTAGACCAGTGAGCGCGCGGGCGTTAGAGGCCGTTAGCCAAGCGGCTGCCCCCATGGTGGCGCGTGCCCTTCCTGTTTGACCAGACGAAGTGGCTCACGCCGAGCCAGCAGCTCTGCTCAGTGCCCGCTGCCAGCTTCTGAGCGACCCTAGTCCCGTCCTCGCCTGTGCCCAGACTGGGCCGTCACCCTGGGATAGGCTTGGGGCCTCATCAGGTCAGACCACTGCCCTCTCCTTGCCCCGCAGACAAAGGTCAGGTCGTTCGCCAGGGTAGGGGTCAGATGGGAGGCTTGGGCTGTGCTTCCTCCTACTGGGCGGGTCCCCTCAGATCCAGTCCCTGCGGCCTGTGGTCGTGGCGAGGGGAGCGGTCTCAGTGAGGGTCGTGCTGTGTCCCTGGCTCTTCCTGTGTCTTGGCGGTACCCCCTCCACAGAGTCCGTGGCGGCGTCATGTTGCAACATGAGCTGTGTCGTGGCCTGAAGTGCACTGTGTGTGGCGGGGTCGGCAGCCGTGGCAGCAGTGGCAGCAGTGACTCTCAGAATGTTGTTTCCGACTTTACTGGGATCCAGCGTCCAGACTTTCTTTTTGTTGTAAAATATGTTTTCACTTTTCAGCCTTCTAATTTAATAATCACCCATATAAAAATAGAATTAAAGTTCTTTAAAGGAATGTTTACTGTTGGTCCTGAGTATTTTTTTATTTACTACATAATACCCACACCAAACCCACTGCCGTGGAGTCCATTCCGACTCACAGCGCCCCTAGAGGACAGAGTGGAACTGCCCACAGGGTCTCCAAGGCTGTCAGTCTTCACGGAAGCAAAGCCCAAACCACACCCACTGCCTGGAGTCCATTCCGACCCACAGTGCCCCTAGAGGACAGAGTGGAACTGTCCACAGGGTTTCCCAGGTTATAACCTTTATGGAAGCAGGTTGCCTTATCTTTCTCCATTGGAGCCGTTGGTGGGTTTAACCACCAGCTTCTTAGTTGGCATCTGAGCAGTTTGGCCACTGTGCCACCAGGGCTCCTGTGGTACACACAGCATGACTAGATCAGCCACAGTAAGCACCTCACTGATAAGCTGGCAGCAGGGTCATATAGATAAAGACTCCGAACTGGGAAGGGGAGTCAGTGCTGACCTGCGTGTTAATGGCAAGTGTGAGTTCTTCCCAGTTAACATCGAGAGAGAGCCCCAGGTGCCCTGACGCACTGAGAGTGCTCACAGCTCTGGCCGATGTGGTTCAGATCAGAAAACAGACCTCCTCAGGAGGGTGGTGGGACTGCAGCTCGCAGGCTGTGGACATGTCGTCAGGAAAAGACCAGTGGCTGGAATAGGGCCTTGTGTTGGGTAAAGTGCGGGGTGAGCGAAAACGGGACCCTCGTGGGACGGGTGACACCGTAGCCTCCACAGTGTGGCTCAAACACAAGCTGGTGACAGTGGTTCGGACTGGGCAGCATCTGGTTCTGTTGTTCGTAAGGTCACCAGGATCCAGACGGCAACTGAGAGAAGCAACACTGGACTCACGTGTCACCAAGGCTCCTTTTATGTCTCCGTAACTGTGTTTGTAAATTTCCCTTTCCCACCATTTCCTCCTGGGAGGAAAAATAGGACATGGACTCGGAGTCGTGGGTCTGTGGGTGGGCCTCTTGGGAACTGTCACCTGGCCTTCCAGACCAGGTCCGTCCTCAGCTGTTACATCTGCAGAGCACACGCCACGAGCAGGCGGTGCTTACAGAACAGGCTGGAATCACACTGGGTGTGGCCACAGATGTACCACGTTCAGAGACAGGCCACCCATGGCCCCCCAGGTTTCCTTTGCCCACTTCTTCCAGGGCATGAGCTTGCTGAGTGGACGGTGGGAGACACGCCTGGGCTCCGTCCTCTCACTCACTGTGCCTCTCAACTGAGTGTGCAGACTGTTGAACTCACAGAGGATATGGGGCGACTGCTGTAGGTAACAGTAAACACAGATGCATTTAAATGCTACCATCATGGTGTAAAGTCACTGAGCAATTACTGCAGAAGAGGTATGAGAACTGTGGCCAGCGCTGCTTTCCTGTAAGAATGGTGGCTGGCACCCCTTTCTTGTGGGAATGGTGATAGATGTGGCTTTGCTGTGAGAAGAGTGGCCCGCGTAGCTTTCCTGTGGGAACAGTGGCTGGCGTGGCTTACCTGTGGGGATGGTGGCCAGCATGGCTTGCCTGTGGGAACAGTGGCCGGTGTGGCTTTGCTGTGGGAATGGCGGCTGGCGTGGCTTTCCTGTGGGAACAGTGGCCAGCGTGGCTTTCCTTTGGGAACAGTGGATAGTGTGGTGTTCCTGTGGGAATGGTGGATGGCGTGGTGTTCCTGATCTGATTGAAAACATGTAACAACCCACAAACAGGCAGGTGGCTGCATGTGGGCCGGAGCATTGCCGGGCTGGTACAGTCACACTCTCAGCCGGTGACGCTTTGTGCCCGACTCTGCATTCATAGATCTGCCCGGTGCGTTTATTCCACAGTGGCCTTCCTACCATTTACTCTGTGTTACAGTGAGCAGTTACCAGAAACAACAGAAAAGTTGGGTGTGTCCGTGTGCCGGCCATGATGCAAAGAAGCCAGGAGGCTTGCTTCTGAAAAGCTCTCAGATGACAAAATGCAGAAGTCCTGAAGAAGCCACAAATGCCCTTTCACATGCTGAGCTGAGCTCATGAGTGGACACCCCATGGCAATTAGATTCCGGGCCAGCTCTGAGTGTCTGTTGGTCCCTGCCCAGGCAGGTGCACATGGTGCTCAGGCAGCGTTTGCTGTGAGAACCCAGGTGCCGAAGTCCCATGCATCTGCTGGTGTCAGAGTCCCGTGAATTACCTTGGAAAACACGTCATTGAAGAGTGAGCAAGAGAAAACTCAGCTACTGCCACAAAGATGTACAAGGAGACCGCCACGGCCCTTCCCCACACGCTGGGCTGAGGGTAGACCTCCGCAGCCCTTCCCCACATGCTGGGCCGACAGGGTGACCGCCATAGCCCCTCCCATACGGGTCAGGAGTTTGAATTTACGTGCCGTCTGTGTCCAGGAAGCGTCATGGGGAGAAGTTTGTGTCGTCCAGGCTGGAAGAAGCGGCACGTGTCCTTCTGAGGGGTGCGCTGTCAGCCTGGGCCTCGGGATTCCAGCGTGGTCAGATTTCAGTCTGAGAACGTCAGTGCTGTGGTCAGGTGTATGCTGCTGAGTTAGGTGATGCAGGTGAAACGGCGCCCCGAGGGATGGAGCGATGTGCCGGATGACAAGAAGAGTGCGGTCTGCAGTCCTGCAGCGAGGAGACGGCGGGGCTTTGCTGCCCAAGCCTGAGGAACCAGCACCCAGATGCCGCAGCCCACTCGTCAGCTCAGGCTGCTCTCACCCCGAGGCAGCATTTGGCAATGTCTGGACACATGTCTGGGTGTCACAGTGTGGGAGGGGGTAGGGTGCTGGTGGCGTGTACCAAGTAGAAGCCCGGAATGCTGCTACCACCCTAGAGTGCCCCAGGCAGCCCCACAGTTCCCCAAACCAGGGTGTCTGCAGCAGTCAGACACCGAAGTCAGAGGGTGGGAGGCGAACCTCAGCAAAATTCAGGGCCCCGTCACTGAGGAGTCTGGGTTCAGCGATTCGGGGCACATTGACATACCCCCAGTGAGAAGAAGACATGGCTGCCTTTCACTCCACTGAGCGTGACAGGGCACGAGGCTCGGTAGACACACCCCAGCTTAAAATGAGGTGAGAGGCAGTTTAAAACACTTCAAGGAAAGTACCAATGGGTCTCGAGGTATGTGGGGGCCCCCAAGCGCCATTTCCCAGTCCACCCATTCTCCCAGTGGTTTGGGTGTGGGCCCGACCCTCTTGAGCGGGTCTTCAGGTTGTCCTGCCGGCTCAGCTCACGGGCGGTGGCCTGAGTGTCCTGGCCCTCTGGTGAGTCTCTCTGGGGCCGAAGCTGGGCAATGGCCAAAACGCCTCAGTTTTCTTCTTTGAAGGTAATCTCCACAGCATTTTCCTTAATTGTTGATTTCTGTGATGGTATTGTTACAGAAGTTAAAAAAAAAAAAAGAAAAACAGCCCAAGGGGGCGGCTTTAATGCCACCACTGTCTTCTCCACTTCTGGGCCTGCAAGTCCAGGTCGGGGTGTCAGCCACGTCGACCCCTTCCTTAGTGGTAAGCAGGGGCACTTCTTGGGTCCCTGGCTTGTAGACGGGCCTCACGTCTGTCCTTCCCCTGCGTGTGATTCTGTGTCTGAACCACTCCGTTTCTAACTCAGGAGCGATTACGCGTAGGACCCACTGCACTTGGGTATGAGCTCACTAACACAGCAGCGACAAAAACCCCTTTCCAAACAGGGCACACCCCAGGTGTGGTGCTCAGGGTCCCAGCACATTCTGGGGGGACAC